TCTGAGGTGCTGGGAAGCCAGTTTGTCCTGGGATTTGTTTCAAACAAAGGACAACCTGTTTCTTTCTAATAAGGCCATGTGGGTTTGCTTCCCTGCCACTGTGGGATGTGTCTGAGCCTCTTTCCCTTCAGGCCTGGTTCCCTTTGGGTTTCAGGGCTGACAGTCCCCCAAGGTAACCAGAGCACCCCGTGTTTCTTTGCAGTACGAGGACCGTCACGCTAAGTGGGACACGAACCAGGCAGGCTTCAGCCACAGCCATCAGCATGGCTTTGGCCTGCTGAACGCCTGGAGGCTGGTCAACGCTGCCAAGGTAATTCCCTCCTTCCCAGACCTGCCCTCTGGGCAGGTAGAGCAGCCCAGCCCAGTGGCTGGGACACATCCTGTCCTGGCAACGCCGTGGGGTGACACTGCTGCCGTTCAGGGCCAGTGCTTTGGCCACCATCCTGCTGGCCCTGGCTCTGAGGCTGCTTTTGGTATGAAGTCATGAGGCTTTTGGCAGTGCCTGAGAGCTGCCCCGGGCTGCTGCTCTCCAGCACTATATATAGCCATGGTGAGAGCTGTGCTGCCGGGAGCCCACAGCTCTGATTCACAGTGGGGGGACTTTTGTCAGCAGCCCCAGCATCTTCCTCCCTCCCTCCACAGTGGCTGCAGGGAGGGTGTCCTGCCCTGAGAAGCAGGGTGTTCTCAGCTGGCAGCTCCAGGGAGTGCTGTGGTCGGAGCAGCAGCGGCATCCCCGTCTCTTCCTCCTCCGCTCGCACGGAGACCCGGGCACGTCCCTTTGGCACTTGGTCCCAGCTCGTGTGTGGAGTGCTGAGCAGCTGTGCTGGGTCACTGCCACTGCCAGCCGTGCCCCCAGTGCCACAAGGACTTCCACGCTGCTCCCCCTTCCTGCCCCACTGTGTCCAGAGCTGGAATGGGATGGCCTCGAGTAACCACTCAAAGCCACTCGGGTGATGGTGGGGACAGACCCAGAGCTGGGGAGTCCCAAGTCTTACTCACCCCCCTCCAGCTCTCCTGGGTGTGTGGGCACTGCTTCCATCCCCAGAGTGCTCACACCACCCAGTGTGTACTGCCCAGGTCTGTGTGCCCCAAAACAGCATTGGGAGAGGCCCCTTGGCCTGGGCCCACATCCAGGAGCAGCTTGTGAGAGCCCCAGGAGACTGAGGGATGGATGTGCAGGGAGGGTGCAATTCATGCTGAATCCTCTCCCCTTCCCCCTGGCAGATCTGGGAGTCTGTCCCATACCTCGCCTCGTACGTGAGCCCTGTGCTGAAGGAGGGCAGGAGCATCCCCCTGCTCCCACGGGAGCTGGAGGTCGCCTGGAATGGTAAGAGCAGGTGTGCCATGGAGAGCACGTGCTGCACACACCCAGGCCAGGATCCAGCGGGGCAGGAGCAGCCCTGGGCTGTGTGAGGCCACGAAGGGGTTAAGTGCTGGGCTGCCTGGGCTTTTTCTTCTCTTTCCGCTGCCCTTCCCCAGGGGATCTGCCTGTTGCTGCCGTCCCCTCCCCATAACCCCATCCCATGGACTGATGTGTTTGGGGAGCCAGACAGGGCTGGGCAGCAGCCAGACCCGCTCCACTGCCTTTGACCATTTTAGGTAATGCTCCAGCTCCCGACTTGGCCAGCCCTGTCCACATCAACAAGGCTCTGCTCAGGGTGCTACCAGTGGGAAGGAGAGATCAGCCCAAGCCCTTCCCGGCCCCCCTGCAGCTCCTGGCTCTGCTGGGCACAGCTCCTTGCCCTGAGGCTGAGCACATTCCCCCTCCATGCCTCACTGGAGATGCTGGTCCTGGGAGCCTGGCCCTGCACCTCTCACTGTCCCAGCTGTATTGCTGGCAGAGGTGCACCCAGGGAGCACCCACCTGCCAGGAGCAGGCCCTGCCACAGCCACAGCTCACTCTGGAGCATGCCATGCTCCCTGGGCTGTGGTTGGCAGCTCTGGGGCTGTGAGGATCCGTGGGACTGGGGGTGGTTTGAAATGGGATCAGGGAGCCTGGACACCTAGTCTCTCCTCCCAATCCCACACAGGTCCTGTTAAATGAGGCTGGCTGGGAGTGGGGACTCCATGTTGGCCACCAGCCTCAGCAAACCCTGTCACCCTCTCCCAGTCACCACCGCCGACCTGGAGCTGTCTGGCATGAGGACCCTGGAGCATGTGGCAGTCACTGTCACCATAACCCACCCCCGCCGTGGCAACCTGGAGATCAGGCTCTTCTGCCCCAGTGGGATGATGTCCCTGATCGGGACCACCCGGAGCATGGACTCGTAAGCACCGAGGGGTCAGGCTGGGGAGGGCAGGACCCCAGGGCCTGTGCCAGCCTCGTGGCTCAGGCTCCATGACCCTCTCATGGGTCGTTTCCCCTCACCCCTTGGCAGGGACCCCAATGGCTTCTCTGACTGGACCTTCTCCACGGTGCGGTGCTGGGGCGAGGGGGCGCAGGGCACGTACAGGCTGCTCGTCAGGGACATCGGTGAGTCCTGCCTGCCAGGGGACACTCCCGGGGTGGTGGCAGCTCTGGGCCATGTCCCAGGCAGCTGCCAGCTCATCACTTGGGAGAGTTCCCCGCTGGACCAACCTGCTTCTTCCCCAGGAGATGAGAGCCTGAGGCCTGGCACCTTAAAGCAGTGGCAGCTGACCCTGTACGGCTCCTCCTGGTCCCCGGCAGAGATGAAGGAACGGCACAGGTAGGGCACCACAGTCCTGACTTGGTGGGGAGCCAGGAGCAGGAGGCTGAGGGGTGTTGCCCATACCTGTGAGCAGGTGCTGCTCGGTGGAGCCGTGTTGCTGCAAGGTGCATGGCAGGGGCCCTCACACCTCACAGGGCAGCCGTGGGCTGCAAACACAGCACTGTTTGCTGAAAGAGGCACTGCAGACCCTTAGTGGGCATTTGGGACCCTCCCTGGAGCCCCTCTGCCTGCAGGACCTGCACAGGGTGCTTCTGTCCCCAGGCTGCTGGAGGAAGCCATGAGTGGGCAGTACCTGAGCAGCAACTTCTCCCTGCCCTGTCCCCCGGGGCTGGACATCCCCAAGGAGCAGCACTACACCATCACAGCCAACACCCTCAAGGTGAGCCTGCCTGTGAGCCAGGGGGTCCCTGTATCCCCCAGGATGGGCTGGAGGAGCAGGACCCTGCCTGGGACACTGTGACCCCTCTGCTGGGCAGTGGGCAGGGCTCGGGGGGGTCGAGGGTGGCGTTTCTCAAGGGGTTTCCCCTCCGTAGACCCTCCTGCTCTTGGGATGCTTCGCCGTGTTCTGGACTTTCTACTACATGCTGGAGGTTTGCCTGACGAGGAACGACGTAGGGCTGGACCTGGCCTGCTCCAGCTCCCCCAGCTGCAGGTGGTACCAGCAGGGCGGGAAGCACCGAGCCCTGGAGAGCGGCCTGGAGATGGAGTCGGTGCCGCTGTACCGGGAGAAGGACGTGGAGGAGGCCGAGATGGAGTGTGAGCACCCAGAGCCTGCCCGGGATGGGGAGGAGGGGTCCTGGACCCCCACCCACCCCGAACTTCCCAGCAATGGCAGAGCTGTGAGCTTCCACGAGGCAGCTCCCACCGGAGCAGGATACCTGGGCCGGGAGGCACCGGCTGAGCTCCTCCTGGAGGACAGGGAGCACCGGCCGTGCTGACTGGGGCTGGGCTGGGGCTGGGCTGGGCTGGGGCCCTCCCCTGTGGTACGACCCTCCTGGGCACAGGCAGCACAGACTCATTCCTGAGCCAGCGTGGACCATTGCCACTGTGTTCTGTGGAAGGTGGTGTTGGAAGTGGCTCAGAAACAAGGGAAAAAGAGTGCTGGTACTGGAAGGGAAGCTCCCCTTCCCTCGCTCTGGAAAACAAAGCAAGCCTTAAACCCCTTCCTGAGGGAGCCTGTCCTGCAGGGCACTCAGAGGTCCCTGCTGTGTGTGGACCCTGTGCCATTCCTGCTGGGAGCGTGGCAGCTGTGGCAGAGCTCCACACCAACCCCCTTCACACCACTGCTCCCAAGCCTGGCAGTGCAGGCAAGACATGTCCCTTTGTCCCTGATTTCTGCAGAGAGCCTGGAAAACCCGGCAGGGCCCCTGGAAGGTGCCTCTCCAGGCAGGGACCCCACAGCACTGGCAGTTTCCTGCCCACTGGGCTGGCAGTGGCCTCTACCCACCAGTTATCCCAGTTTAGAAGCAGGGAGCTACTTTACTCATCTCCAACCAGCGCTTCTCCCTGTCCCCTGTGCTCTGATCCTGCTGGTTCCTCCTCTCCCCTGGGCATGGAGCAGCTGTGGGGCTGGGGAAGCAGGAACAGGCCTGTTTGGGCGGCAGGATGAGGCTGTTCCTGCAACGGTGGGCACAGGAGTCCCTCTGGCAGCAGAGCTCACTGGGGCCACTGTCCCAGATCTCCCTCCCCATCCAGGAGGGACAAAGCTGGGAGCAATGCTTGGTTTGGGCCAGGGAGGGGAGGATGAGTTGCTCTGGCAGTGGCTCGTCTGAGCAGGGTTGGCTTGTTCACATGTCTTTGGGTTTGGTGGTTTATTTTTTTAAGGCTGGGGTTTGTTTTTTAATCAGCAAAGCCCTTTTGTGTAGCTTTCCAAATAAAGCCTGAAAAACCCTCCTCTCCCCCATCCGTCACTCCTCTGCTCTCCCAGAGCTTCCTCACTGTGGAAAAATGCGTCACCCATCCCCTCCCAGCACCGGGGCCTGGGGGGACCCAGTGTTGGGGTGTGGGTCTGTGGGGGCCGTGAGCCCTCCGTGCCCTGCTCCCAGGAGCCGGGATAACGGGAGCTGCTCCAGGCAGGGGGATGCAAGGGCTGGGCCAGAGTGTTGGAAGGAGTGAGGAGAAAGGTGGGTGTTGAGCTTCAGGGGGGAGAGGGCAGAGTCTTCCAAGCCGGGCAGGGAAAGCCTGATCCCCAGCTGTGGTGTTCCCAGGTTTGGAGCTGGAAGAAGGAGCAGCCATGGCCTTTTAGGGAGGGTGGCTTCAGCTTTTCCAGAGTCACCAGCCAGGCGGGAGGAAACCTCGTCAGGCCACAACTAGATGAATATAACCTTTTAATTTCGACAAAAACCAAGTACAAAACCGAGGCCCAATTCTCTCTTTCTCCCCGTTCGCAGGGATCTCTGCGGCAGTGGCGCGGGGCTCGTGGGGGGGCTGCGGGCAGGGGGGGCCACCCCGTGGGCTGGGGCACGTGCCCATCCCGCCCGTGGGACACCCGTGGGTGCCGGCAGGGGCAGGACCGGCTGGCGGGGGGTGCGAGGCCAGGGGGGCAGAGGCTGCCCGGGGCTGGGCGCGGGGGCTGCGGCCCCGGGGCGGGGGGCTCTGCGGGGCGCGTGCAGCCGCTGGCGTTGGGGCGTTGTTGGCTGGCGTTTGGGGGCGTTTGCTCCTCAATAAATACCAATCGGTGCGGGGCTGGTGGCGGCCGCCGACGCTCGGGCGGCTGCGGCGCTGGGCCGGGGGGAAGCGGAGACGGAGGTCCCGGCTGGGGAGGGCTGGGGGCGGCGGGGGGGTGCCTAGCTGATGATCTGCCGGGGCCGGCCGTAGCTCATCCCCGCCTGTGACGCTCCCTTGTTGGTCCCCATCTGTAGCCCGATGATGTTCTTGCCCTCCTTCAGCTGGCTCTCGGTGAACTCCCGCTTGTGCTCCTGCGCCTTCCTGCGGGGCACGGGGAGAGGCCGTGGGGCACCCGCACCCACCCGGGTGACCAGCAGCCCCCCCCAATCCCCAGGGGTGCCCCGGCCCCTCTCCCTCCCCAGTGTACCACCTCCATGTGCTCCAGGGTGCTCTGGGCAGCCACAGGGCAAAGGGGTCCCCACACCCAGCTCTGCCACTCCCCCACTTACTTCATGAACCAGTTGGGGTCCCCGTGGTAGTGCCCGTCGTTCTTGGTGATCGCCAGGCTCCCCAGGGCCATCAGCGTCCTCTGCACCGCCGCCATGTCCTTGGCTGCCGAGGGACAGAGGGAGGGATGTGAGGAAGGGCACGGCACAGCATGGCAGCCCTGGATCCCCCAGCCCCAACTGCCCCCCTCCTGCACCTTCAAAGAGGTCGACGGTCTGGAACATGTCTGTCTTGGTCACACCGTAGTCCTCGGCCGCCTTCAGGAACTGGGCGATCTGCTCCATCTGCTTGAAGACCATGGTGGGCGGTGCGTCGGGGATCTTGACGGGCTTGGAGCCGTCGGGGTAGAGGCTGTTCACCAGCCTGCTGAGCACCTGCCACGGGGGAGAGTCTGGGCTTGCTGCAACACCACAGAGCCCCCGCCAGCCAATCCCCCCCCGGGACCCCACTTACGATGCCGTTCTTCAGCCAGACCTGGAAGCCCAGGCGGCCCCGCTCGGGGCGACCCACGGAGGACCCGCACTGCGCCACGATCCACTCCACCAGCCGGTCCTCCAGCTCATCATCGTACTTCTTCTCAATCTTGGACTGCACATCCCTGCTCATGCCATAGGCTGGGCCTTTGTTTGCCATGGCTGCAGTGGTGGGAGACCTGGCGGCACGACAGAGACCGTCAGGCTGCGGAGATGCTGTCCCCCTACCCAGGGACCCTGCGGCACCCCTGTGGCATCCACCACCCACACTGGTGCAGTAAGGACATGCCCTTCTCTTGGCTCTTCCCTTGCTCCATCCAGGAGTGTTTGGAGGTCAGTTCACAGCCATGACTCCCAAAACCTGCCCAGACAGATGGTTCCTGTTCTGGCAGAGGTGCCTCGTCCTCACTGCCTGGCTCAGGCTATGCAGGGGAACAGCCTCATCCCTGTCCCTTGGTTGGCACAAACATCCCTGGAGTGGCCATGCCAGGATCCAGGTGGCAGGGTGACCACAGCAGGGCTGTGTTGCAGCATGGTGGCCGCACCGTGGCAGAGCAGGGTGCCCACGGGGTAGCCTTGGTGTGGCAGGTCCAGATGCCAGGGACGAGCATGGGTGAGGCAGGAATGGTGGGAACCGTGCCCGTGCCCTTGTAAGGACATGCTGTGGCAGTGATGGCAGGTAGCTGGCTGCAGGCAGGGCCCGAGGTGCCAGGGAAGATGCCAGGAGGGAGAGGCACCGTGAGAGGCAGCCAAGCCCTCGGCAGAGCTGGCCTCACTCCTCCCTGCATGGCTCCTTGGCATGAAGCCTCTGAGCGCCAGGGCTGTGCCCTCAGGGAGCCGTGTGCTCTGTCCCACACCCACGACCTGCCTCCCGTGGGCTCATCCTGACCACTGGGCACAGGCACCGGGGCTCCTGCGGGATGGGCTGAGATCTGGCACAGCTCAGAGCAGGAGAGGATGCTGCCCCTGCTTGCTGCCAGCAATGCAGGGGTACCCCACGAGCCCCAGGGGCAGCCGGTGCCCAGACTCCAGCACCACTGGGCACTTCCAGCGATGCCACAGCTAGTCCCGCTCTGTGCCCTGGCCCGAGCTGGCACAGAGGGTTCACGCACAGACCCACGGCTCCCTCGGCCATGAGGCAGTGCCCCGCAGTCACCCCCGGCCCTGCCAGCCCCCTGCCGAGACACGGGGCAGAAACGGACGCGTCGGGGTTGAACTCGCCCCTTTCTCTCTGCCCTGAGCCCCGCACGGCCCCTCCGGCCCCCGCGGGGCCGAGGCCGGTGGACCCGCAGCAGCGGAGCCCCGATGGGAACGCGGTCCTGAGGGGCAGGAGCAGGACAGAACCCCGGCAGCGACCCCAGCCCGAGCAGGAGAGCCCGACCTTCCTCCGGGGAGCAGCAGTGCAATCCGGGGAGCAGCATCCCCATCCCGGGGAGCTGCGTCCCACCCGCAGGAATAGAATCCCCATAATTCAGGGAGCAGAGGGCAGCCCCGGGAGCGGCTTCCCTATCCCAGGTACAGGGTCCCCAACCCGGAGGGGAGCACCCCCATGCCGGGGGCTGACATCCGTATTCCGGGAACCCTCCCCGCCGCCCCCCCCGCCTTCCCCCCGCGGCAGGACTCACAAGCGGCTGCGGACGGAGCGAGGGCGATGCTCGGCGCGGGACCAGCGCTCTGCCCCGCGGGGACCCCGACCTTGCGCTAAAAGGCGGGCGGCGGGACGGTGATGTCAGCGGGGCGCGGGGCCCGGCCCCCCCCGGCCCTCCCTCCCGGGGCGCCCGGCCCCGCAGCGCTCCATGACTCCATCCCAGGCACCATATTTGGGGAAAGACTCCGAAAACCAGCGACGAAAGCCCAAGCATTCCCCGCGTGCCTCCGCCCCAGCGGGGCAGGGGCGGAACCGGGCCGGGGGCTGATGGAGTAAATCCTTTTATAGCCAGGCGGCAGCGCCGAGGGCTCCCGCCCTGACTTCATGGCTGGTTTCCCCATGTGCTCACCGCCGGGAGCCGGGGCGGTCCAGAGAGGTCCCCGTGGTGACCCACCGCCCACGGAGTCCGGCCGGGACCGCCGGGGCAGGCTGCGAGCTGCGGGCATCCCGCTGGCACCATGCCTGGGCATCCCGCAGCATCCCGGGATTCCCTCTGCCCCGCGGGCACCAGCTGGAGCGGGTCAGGGCACGGCGGGGCACGCAGCAGCCCTGGCACCGCTGCGATGCCACGGGGGCCCCAGGAGCTTTGCTGCCTGTGAAATAGGACCCCCCTGGGCATCCCTCCTACCCCTGGGGCTGCCAGCCCTCACCCTGTGCCCCACAGACCACCCCCAGCCTCCCACAGAGGTTCTCCAGAGCAGCAGCAGCGCCGCAGCATCTCCACTCTCCCAAAATCCCGCGGGAAAGAGGAGACAGTGCCACAGCACTGCCTGGCTGACACCCCGTGGCAGATGCCCCTGGGACCCCCCGGGCTCCTGCTGCCCAGGCAGGAGGCAAGAGGCACAGGCAGGCAAAGTGCAGACACTTTAATGCGAGTCCCTTCCCAGCAGATCCACGCGCGGACAGCGCGCGGCACCTCGGTGGGAGCGGCAACGGGGGCCCGCCACAGCCACCCCCCCGGGACACTGCAGGAGACACGAGTGGAGCCTCTCTGGCCACTGCCACCACCGCGCTGGCCCCACACACCCCCACCTCCCACCCATACGACTCAGGCACTGAAGAGAAACCCACACCCACGAGCTCGGGGGGCCGCGGGGCTGCTGGCACGGCACTCGCCACAATCCCCTCGCCGCGCCCACGGGCACACGGACACGGAGCAGCAGCACCTTTTCCAGTGTCACTTGCCACCGAGGATGGTGCCCCGGTGGCCCCCCAGCCCTGTTTTTGGCCATGACAGGCCCAGGGACGGGCACATAGTGCCTGGAAGGACCTGGCTGACAGGGAGGAGGTGCACCAGGACCCCCAGGCTGCGTGGGGAGGGGGACGGAGCGGCTGGCAGGACCTGCAGCACGGACATCCCTCCCCGGGGGTGGGTGCCCCCTCCCGGGGCTGCAGCGGGGTGTTTGGCACAGTCCCAGGGCAGCATGAGGCTGCAGGCTCCTAGAAGACGTAGATCTTGTCCCGCTGGATGCAGTCCAGGTCATCGTCCAGTGTCAGCAGCACCTGCGGAGCAAGGAGAGCGAGGGGAGCGGGGCATGGGGAGCTGGGGGGCAGGGGCAGGGTCTGCTGTGCTGGAGGAACCAGCACCTACCAAGAAGGAGCCGAACATGGCGATGGAGGAGAGAAAGTGCCAGATGTCGTGGTCGTCAAAGAAGTCGAGCAGGATGCAGTCACGGTTGTGCTCCCGAGATTCCGCTGGCGTTTTCTGTTGGGGACAGAGCCAGTGTCACTGTGCCCGCCCGTGGCCATCCCACCCACCCCACTGCCCAGGCCACCCTCCTGCTCACCTGCCAGGTGCTGAGCCCCTGGAAGAAGAAGAAGAGGGCAAAGCCCCAGACCACAGAGGTGCTGATGATGCAGAGCAGGGGGATGAGCTTGATGCGCTCGCCACTGCGGAGCTGCAGGAGAGTCCGGTGTCACTGTGCAGGCAGGAGCTGGCAGCAGTGCCCTGCCCTGCCCTGCCCTCCCCACCAGGCCCATGGGGGCCGGGGGCTCAGCTCCCACCTTCATGATGATGTAGAAGGCGAAGTAGAGGAGGAGGTTGCAGATGCCAATGGCCAGCAGGTAGGAAGCGAAGTCATTGGGGCGGACAATGAGGCCGTAGGCAGCGCTGGGGAGGCAGGGCAGGCAGCAGGGTCAGCACAGCCTGGGGCCCCCTGTGGTGCCCGTGTGCCTGCTGTCCCCCAGGCAGGCCAGCAACCCCCGGGAGGTCAGGCAGCGTGAGGTGACATCGTGGTGCCACAGCTGCAGGGGGATCTGTCATGCTGGGCTCACATGCTGTCACGATCTGGCTGTCCTCAGCCCAGCCCCAGCGGAGGAACGGCAGGAGCAGGGTGGGAGCAGTGGCAGGGACGGGGAGAAGCAGGGTGGGGTCTGGTTCTGCACTTACAGCGACCAGTTGATGATGTTTCCCATGACCAGGAGCACCATTCGGTCCTGCAAAGGGCAGGGGGGCTGTGAGGGGTGGTGGGCAGCTGCTCCGGGGCAGGGGCTGCCAGGAGGGGTCTCCGCAGAGCCAGGGGGGCCCCGTTGCCAGCACTCACCACGTACATGGGCCCGCTGCACTGCCGGACGCAGTCCGTGTACAGCACGTGCAGGATCCTGCGCAGGATGCCCGAGTCTGTGGGGAGAGGGGAGGTGACACTGGGGGGGCCACTGTGCTGCCCCCCGCCCACCCTGCTCATGGTGCCTGCCCTCACCCAGCTTCCAGCGCCCCATGTAGTAGAGCTGGGTGCTCAGCAGCAGCGTGGCCAAGATGTGGATGACGGAGAAGACGATCCAGAAGGCCGTGTTCCCCTTCCCAAAGACCTGCAGGGAGAGTGGGGGGTGGGCAGTGAGCTGTGGGGGTGACCCACGTGTGTGTCCCCCTCCGCCACAACGCCCACCCTACTCACCACGCCGACCACGGAGAAGAAGATGACGAGGGCCAGGCAGGCGTAGGCGCTGTAGGCGCTGGCGTTGATGTCTGGGTGGCGCTTCTGGTAGAGTTTCAGCATGCAGAGCCCCGCGATCATGTACATGAAGGAGGTGTCTGGGGGGGCACAGCGGTGAGAGGGGTGTGGGGGCGGCCCCGGCGTGGGCAGTGGGGGGCTGGGGGGGCACTCACCGAACTGGAAGTTGGTGTAGTTGGGGCAGACGTGGTAGCAGGCGCTGAGCAGCCCCTCCATCATGAGCGCGGTGCCCATGGCGTAGAAGAGCCCGAAGTGCTTGGGGATGCCGCACTCCTGTGGGGCGGAGGGCAGGGGAAGCAGGGGGTTCGTGGGGGGCTGAGGCCTCCCCCAGGGCACCCCAGCGACCCCCGTCCCTTACCAGGGCGTGGGTGTCGTTGCGCATGAGCGCCCGGTTGTAGTTGATCTCGCGCTGCAGGATGATGAGCAGGAAGAGCAAACCCAGCAGGATGTAGCCCAGGTTGCTGAGGATGTTGTTGAAGGCGCTGCGAGGGGCCAGTCCACACCTGAGTGCTGTGGACCCTCCCTTGTCCTCGGGGCCCCGCCACAGCACAGCCCTGGGCACAGGGGACCCTCAGCCACCCACCCCCAGCCACCCTGAACCCACCTGAGGTTCCCCAGCGGGTGGGCACACAGGAAGTTGTAGTAACAGATGTCCTGGTTGCCAGTAACGTTCACCACCTGCATTCACAGGCAGGGTGAGGGTCGGGGGGACCCCCGGAGGCGTCCCCATTGTGCTGGGGAGCACAGTTTAGGACTGCAGCCCCCAGAGCTCCCAGGAGCCCCAGCTGCTGCCAACCTGCCCCACTTACTGTCTGGTAGGTGATGACAAGCTGGATGACAGGCAGGGCGTAGAAGACAGCGATGGTGGCGATGTTCCTGCGAGAGGCAGGGGGGTGTCAGGGGGTCCCTGCTGCCCGCCCCGGGTCGGGACACTGCTCAATGCCCCCATCCCCACTGCCCCCCGCTCACCAGAAGTAGATCTGGTACTTCTTCCGCAGCACCCGCTTGTCCTTGCGCGCCAGGTCGGCCACACACAGGTATTTCTGGAAGGAGAGGCTGGTGAGGGGTTGTCTGGGCAGTGGGCAGTGGGCAGCAGGGGCTGGGGTGGGACACACCTTGGTGCGGATGACGTTCTTGTCATAGTCAATGTCAGCCAGGGTGTCGTAGTCATCCTCCTCGACGGAGCTGAGCGAGTCCAGGCGGGGCCGGCCGGCCACGTTCTCCAGGGATCGCTCCCCTGCGGCCCAGCCGGGGCTGTCAGAGGAGTCCCTGGCCCAGCCCACCCCGGCACCCACCCCGTGGGACCCCAATCACACCCAATTAACCACTCGGCTGCTTCCCTGACAACTCTCACCAGGGACGGGCTCTAATCCCCTGGACCCTGCGCTGTCCCTGCCCGGGGGGACGTGGTGGCTGCGCCATGTGGGTGAATGTCACCCATGCCCGTCCCCCGGGGCTCTGCCACACTGGGGACAGCTGGGGCACAGGCAAACAACATCCTGCCCTGCAGTCCCTTGGTGCTGCCCTTGCTCTGAGGGAGGGGAGCTGGGGTGCTCTGTGCCCTGGGCATGAACTTGGGGCTGGGCAGATTTTGCTTTGATTGGCCCAACCCTGCCCAGTACCAGCATCTACCCATGGGAATGCTCAGCGGCCTCGTCAGGGCGGAGGGTGTGCGCCGCTTGAACTGCTCCTGCCCTTCAAAGGAAAGCCACAGTTACTGGAGCAGGGCTCCCCCACACGTGTCTGCCAGTGGAGACCCCGCTGTGGGCTGCACAGAGGGGCTGCCAGCCCTGGGACCTGCCCCAGAGACAGAGAGGGGCAGAGCTGGGACACCACCGTGCACGTGGCTCTGCAGGGCTGCGGCCACACCAGTCGCCCCACAACTCACCCACGTAACTGTAGGAGACTTCTGTGGAGCCCAGGCTGTCTGTGACACCCTCGGTGCTGCTGGAGGAGCCGTTCCCTGCAAGGAGGGCAGAGGGTGGGCACGGCCCGTGGGCAGGGGGGTGAAGGACAGGGGGACAGCACAAGGCACTCACCGAAGGAGCCGTAACCGTAGCTGTCGTAACCACGGCCCAGGAAGGAGTC